AAAAAAAACATGTCCCAATTATTTAGATAATCTATGCACGTTTGATAAAATGTGTACACAGCATCATTGCATTTTTTGGCTTGTATATTTTCTGATTTTTCTAATGCTAAAACCACTTTTCTAATAACAATAGGAAGAAACCCCTGGTACTGTCAGTGGGCCGTTTGGTTGGCAACACACTGCACTACTGCGCTCTATGTAGCAATGCAACACTGGTTGTGATGGCGTATACAAAACTAACTTGTTCAATATATTATTAAAAAAATTTTTTTTACAACTTTGCATCAACTTTACAAAATAAAGGACAAAATGCTTATTTTAGAAAATAAATAAAGTTAAAGGACAGATCAGTGAAATAAAGGACTGTCCTCTTAAATAAAGGACATATGGTCACTGTAGGTATATCTACATAAAAAAATATGCATGTTCATCCACAGATATATAGTTTTTGTAATCTTGAGAAAATATTAAATTAGAATTAAAATTAATAGTAAACTTGTATATTAAAAATGGATTTTTTTACACTCCAAGTTCAAATTTTTAAAAATAAAATAAAGGTGTCATTATCCCTCTAATCATCATTAATTCTTTTTCTTTTTGGAAGGTTATGTAAAATTTTTTAGTTTATTAAGGTATATAACACAAATTATTAAGCTAGAAAATTAAATTATATTCTTTCAGTTACTTTTTTCGAACATAAAATATGGGGAGAAGACAAAATTAACTAAATTAATGTTAAAGAATTTCAATTAGTATTCATTTACAGTTTAACTTGAATTTGTCATTAACAGCTTTTAGCCAAGAATCTTTAGAAATAAGAATTACTAAATTTGATAGTTGTTTATTACCAATTTGATGTTTCATTGATAGTTGGATTTCAAATTTGATAGTTGGAATTACCAATTTGATGTTTCATTGTAATTCCAATTATTTTAAACACATTCAAAATGTTAATTTTTAAAAAACTGATATGTTTAACAATAATAATAATAATTAGTGTTGCAAAGTATATTCGGCCTCAGGCCGAATACCGAATATTTGGCCAAACTATTCGGCTTGATTAATGCACGTACGAAAATTGGTGCGCAAACCTCATTATGGCAAGGACCCTGCTCTCTATTGGCCCACTGTCACTACTCTTCGCCAATCACGTTAATTCTTGACAGTTGTAGTGGACAGACAAGAGCATCATGGCAGTATGTGATAAATGATGATATCAAATGTGGATAACAATGAAATGACCTACACATGTAAATAACGGAAAAAGAACAGAGAAGGACCGCGAAGTGAAAATGTGAAAATAAATATGAAATTGAGTTGATAACATAATCGAACAAGTCGAGGCAGCTTATTGGCGCGAAATTCACGGCCATCAATGCCAAACAATTGTTGTCATAGACTTCAGAAAGTTAATGCTTGTAACGAAAGTCACTTAGCATGCACGGGCGAAAGCCTGGGGTCGTTCGGGCTACCAAGCTGTCTCAAATTTGTGAAATCATAACTGTGACATATACCGACGTTCTATCTGTCTCTTTTCTCCATTATCATTAGGCTATGAGTCATGTAATTACAAAATGGAAAAACTACGACAGAAAAGTGACAAATCGGAAGTATCATGAGCGCATATTATGATATATGCATAGGCATACGTACACTAGAGAGATGGAGGAAAGAGAAAGGAAAGAGCAAAGACGAGCACTTAGAAAGGATAGGCAGGTTCAGACCCTCACATGTGTGAGACAATTCTCGAATGAATAGGTGTGTGGTGCTGATCTTTGTAATTATAAATTGTGAATACATGTGACTAATATTATTATTTTTTTTTTTATTTTGTGCATGTTATAAGTTATAAATAAATATAAACAAACAACACTAACCCGACAACATTAAGTCTAATACCAAAATGATTAATTTTCTGTGTTTTTGTTATTTCTTACTCCTGTTTTTAGGTATTTGGTATTCGGCCAAATAGTGATTAAATATTCGGCCGAAAAATAGGCCGAATACTGAATAGTAACTGAATATTTGTTACATCACTAATAATAATAGTAATAATAATGTTGTTCTTGTGATGTTGGTAAAATGTATCTTACACTGCATATATACAAGTGCATAGTATTATGCCAGACCAAAGTCAAGGCATAACTGCAGAAAATGTTTTGTTTACATGCTGTTTGTGTATACAGTATATCTATGTTTAAGAATATCCTTACAGTGTGATGTGTTTATTATGACATCTTTCTGTAGTGTGTGTAATTTGATGCCTGTACAAAAAAGGATTATATGCACAATAAGTACCTTATCTATTGTCCACAGATGCTTTATTTCATGGACAAGTTATGAATATTTATTAATTCTTTCAGTGTATGAATTTTATATATTGCAAGTGTTTGGTATAGCTATGATGTAGGCGATCTTGTTTTGTTTGTCAATGAATGTGATTTCTGGTCTGTTGTGATAGATTGTTTTTTCTGTGATTATAACTCATAGGGTGAGAACCAAGGGGGTTAGTTGTCCCCACTTACCAGTGGCTCTGTCAGAGGATGGCTTTCGGAGGGCTAAATGTGAGTGGGGAGGTCATTGAGTACATCGACAGGTTCCGAATAATTTCACAGGTTGAACAAGAATAGCACGTTTAATAAACAACTATAAAATTATACATATCAAAGGCAAAAGCAAAAAGCTACACAAATAGAAATAATCAGAAATTCTATTCTAGGTCGCGACAATGATTCGTCTTTCCAATGGAATATCTAAGTTCTATTCTCAAAGTTAAACTAAGAGACGAGAGAGTATACAGATAGATTTCTTAAAAATACCTCTAAGTCTGGTATATGACATCATTGGGACTATCGTGGACCTGGGAAGTGGTCATCTGGTTATCTTGGGATAGAGACAGCTAGTATGGTGAGGTGGCGACAGACAGAGTGGCGGTGTGGGTCTGTTGACTCCTGTTGATGTCCCCTGCTGATGTTCGCCTGGAGGACTGTGTCCAAGCCCTTTTTATACATGTCCCTAAGGGGGTGGAAGATCGGGGAACATTCTGTTGCAATCCAGGCAAGTTTGACGTGTCCAGGATTGTTTATACTAATTGTCAGAAATCGAAACATTTCTGTAGATTTATTACTTCTTCTATCCAGTATTGTCACTATTTCCAACTGATAAATTTGATAACAGTTGTCAAACTGATGGAATTAATGGCTGGAGGTGACTAAGGTTAGGGTATGTAGTGCAACCTTAGTAATAATTGTTCATTTGATGGGTCATGTGATCGGTTTTATCATTGTTAAAATCAGATGAAGTAGGAAGTGTGTGGGTTATGTTTTTCTCTTTTCCCTCAGGAAGGGTTAAGAGGTCACTTCTCGAAGTTTGAAGGAAGAGGGGAAATAATGATGAGAAAAATTAATCAAACTGTCAAAATTCATAAATGGGCTTGAATTCTCACAATAGTAATCTGTATATTTTGTGTGTTGTTTTCTACAACTGTCTGAGCTGTGTATTTGTAGTATGGTTCTTTGGTGTTATTGTTTGTTTGTGTTTGTGTGCAAGCTTTTAATATATTAGCATTTGGTTCTGTCAGTGTAAGTAGTCAGTTTGTGTTAAAAGCTTGCAACCCAATGTGATTGTTTTGTGCATGATGTGGCATTTCATACAAGTGTAGTCTTCTAATATATAGTTTCTTATATTTATGAACGGGACTTGTATGGAAATTAACAGCTGGTTGACTCTTGGATGATGTCAACTAGCTGTTCTGTCAACCTGATCCTGGCTGATATTGTTGAGATGTATATCATGGAGCTTCTTATGAACCCAAGACTTGTGTAATGATATCTATACGTTTTGTGAACTATTAAATCTAGATCAATTTGTGTAAGTCTAGTAGTGTACTATTTTTGTTTGCAAAGAGTTAGCTCTTTGCAGACAAAAACTCTATAGAAAAACTTTTGTAGTGTTTGTATTTTTAAAATATCTGTGAGATTTCACCCTCCCTCTTTGAGGAAGGATCAAACTTTCTTTGGATGGCTTAAGGTGGTGCTTCTGTTTTAAAGTTTTTTTTTTCCTTTGAATTCTACTTCTTAGTGTGCCCACTGTACAGAAAGATTTGCTCAGGATTGAACACTTACTTTATTCAATATTTTGTGATTGCACAATCACATTTGAATAACATGTAATGTAAAACTTGCCTTCTGCTTCATCATGAAATGATCATTCCATTCATGTTGCATGCTAATTTCATTTTATGTGGATATATTCCACATAAAAAGTGTTCAGTCCCAAGTGAATTGCTCTGTATAACTCCAAACAAATATGTCAGTAATGGGACATGTATGTTGATAGCTTTAAATGTTTGTTTTGCATTCAGATATGTTGTTAATAATTATTGTTCTTAAACTCACTATTATTATTATTATTGTGTTGGGTTTAGTGGATTCTACTCGGTTTACACCGGTGGCTGTGTACTATGCCGGACAAGAGTCAAGGCATAGCAACCAAAACAAAACTAAAATTAAATGCGTGTGTCAGAGTCTGTATTCAGGAATTTCCTAATATGGCATGTATTCAATATAGTGGCCTTCTGTAGTGTTATGTATGTATTTCTATTCAATTGTAATGTTCCCAGGCTTTTGTGTAGTGTGTGTGGTATCACACCTGTATGTTATTATTATTANCAAATCTTTTGCCATTAGAGGAAATTATTTGCAGTGCTGAGGTTTCTAATGAGTTGAGTAAATTATCTCAAAAAGATCAATTGCATTTTTGCAGTTGCTTACAGAAACACTATGTTGTGGCTTCCATATATATGATAGAAAAAGCTCCAATTCAATGCAAACTGTTGAAATCATTGACATGTCTTCAACCAAGTAATATTAGTGAAAAAAGCACTTATAAGGACATTGTAAGAATTGCAAGAGCTCTTCCATATGACATTACTGAGGATACTTTGCAGGATGACTGGCGCCTACTTCAATTTGAGCGAGTTGAGTGTGATTTGACAGACTCAAAAGATGAGAGAATTGATTCTTATTGGAGTCAGTATTTTAAATTGGTTGACTCCCTTGGGAATGCAAGATATCCCAGTGTAACCAAATTGGTGAAATCAGCGTTGACTCTCTCTCATGGCAATGCTGATGTGGAACGGAGATTTTCAATTTCACGCCGGGCACTTCCTCCTGATAGAGCATCAATGTCAGAAAGAATGCTTAATTCACTTTTGATTGTTAAGGAGGGACTAAACATGTATGACCGAAGCCCACACCTTGTACCTATTACAAAGGATTTACTGAAATTAGCTGCCTCAGAACATAGAAATTATCAAGACCAATTGGAAAATGAAAAGAAGTTAAAAGAAAAAGAGCAGAAGAGGATGCACAGAAAAATTTTGAAGAACATCAAAAGAGAGCTATTCATGTCAAGGAAAAGATTATGGCATTGCAGTAGAGTTTAAAACAGAAAAAAATAGAAGTGAAATACACAAGACAGGCCAGGTTTTGTTAGAAGCAGAAAACAAAAGACTGGAGAAGGCCATTAATAGCAAGAATATGAATGAAATACGAGCAGCACATGTCATGCTTGTTAGTGTTAAAAGTGTTCAAAAGCAAGAGGAAGCAAAAAAGAAGGAAGCTGAAAACATCCAGAAAAATCTTAATAAAAGAACATCATCTTTCATGGCTGATTATTTACAGAAGAAGCCAAAGACTTATTAAGTATTCATGGTTTACTGGAAATATTACAGTATATACAAAAAGTTTTAAAATGTATTTAACCATAACAATAAAAATAAAAAACTTTT